TTTAACTTACTGACAACATCGGACTTGGTTTTCAAATACTCCAGTTCTGCGATACTGATACTATTTTGACAAAAGAAGGGACTTGAGAACATTAGGTTTACCCGCCCAAGCTGAATCTCGTATTTTTTCGCATTCCAGGATGCGTATTTTATCATGAAAAGTCGTAATCGCGTATTTTCGGCCAAAAATCGTACTAAAATACGTAAAATCGTACTGGTTGGCATCTCTGCAAAGTAAATCATACCTCCTCAGCTTCTTCCAACAATACATCAGACAAAGTCACAAGCTCAGATTCTTTTGCAGCCTCATCTTCTTGCTCCGCTTCCGCACTGGGTTTGACCTCTGCCAAACTTCTGGTAGCCTGAAGGTTCTCTTCACGGTTCTGAGCAAACAAAGAAACCCAAATGAAAAATCAAATAAAATTCACAAACTGCTTGTTTTCACGTTACTGGCACAGTAAATCAGAGAAGTAAATGTGTCAAATCACGGGTACCACCACATAAAAATTTCCTGAATATATGACCACGATTAATTTCAGACATGTGTGTAGGCACTGGAGAAAATGCTTTTGTGTGTAAATGACAATTAATACGCCACATATACCAAGGCACTTTACCAAAATCAGAACCAAAGAAAAAAGTAAACAGCTGCCAAAGAGTCATCTCTGAAAGTCTGTTAGTATACCCAAAAATGAGACGAAGAACTTCGGCAAGTCGAGTCCACACTTATATCAAAGTGGAACACGGAAATCCCAAAAACTTTTTCTAAACCAAGCTTTGGTTTCTGTGTTCACTTTTTAAAAAATCATAGATCTAAAAAAAATTGTTTCCACAGTATACACAAAAGAAAAAACTAGGTTGCGATTTAAATTACGGTTTGACATAAAACAGATCTCTGCCATAGGCTGACAAAACGCCCCCTTTTTTTTTTATTCACAGCAGTTTAAGAGAAAGGTTCTTTTGTCGGCATAACCATTGAAAAATAGAGTGCTTTTGAAATTGTAATTCTAATTTATTAGAAAACTAGTCAGTTTCACTTTTATTTTTTCAAAAGTAGGATAAATGATCAAGCTTTCAATTTAGTAGATAAACATTTTGAGGTCAAATTGAGAAAAAAAAGGCACTTTTTTCAGCATATTGCAGATCTGTACTTCTAAAAAAAACTACCATTTATCTAAAATGAGGAACTAACAAACCTTCAATGTTTCCTGTGCCATGGCTATGAAAGGCTCCTCTGTTACATGAGCATCCTTCATCTGAGCAGCCAGGTCGGCTTTCTCTACCTCAATCACTTCTCTCTGGATCTCTTCTTTTCCTGCCACTAATAGCTTGGCAAATTTGGTGTTCTCGCCATCTGAAATGATCCCCACAAAAAAATTATTTTTTTAAATTTCTTAAAGGGAAACAACACTAATGATGTAGTAATGTGTAAAGAAAGAGTTGTCAAGGTATTTGTCCTCCTGTTCTATTGAACCCAAGAACATTCTCTTCAAGTCACCAGAGAAAACGAATATAAAACAGTGCCTTAGAAAAAATTGAATAAGTGTAAACTCAGAAAAAAATTTCCTTAATTCTTTCCACTCTACTATCTGGTTGTTAGGGACAGGTTCGACAGTACTTTCATCTGGGAACAAAAAACTGGATCCTTTGTGAGCATCCCTGAAAACGTTCAATGTACAGGGAAGCTCTTTCTTAACCCTTCCAGCCCCAGGCCCGTATATTTTCAGCAGCGCTTGCACCTCTCTCCGCCCCAAGAGCGCATCTTCTCAGTTTTAGGGGATACCGAATTTGCCCATTTTTCGAAATTAGCTAACCTAACTAAACTTTAATTTTCATAATATTTGTTCATTTATCTTTGAACATTGTTATATGTTATTATCTAAACCTTATGACAAAGATTCAACAATTTTTTAGAATGCATGCCTCTTTTTTCTTAAACATTGCTGTATCTGCCGGGACAGGGGTTAGGGAGTCGGAGTGCACAAAAATGGCAGAGGCCGAAAGGGTTATCTTTCTATCACCAAAGCCTCAAAGGGGAACCCATTGTAAATTTTCTGAATCAGAACATGTGACCTACAGGAGCATCTTACCAAGCAGGTTGTGTGGAACGCCCTGTCTGTCTGTCCACTGCTTCTTCGGGCAGACGTACACACTGCCTTTACTCTTGCGCATCAGCTTCAGTTCAATGGTGTCTCCAACTTTATAGTCGGGCACTTTGACCCATCGCACACTGAAACACACCAACAACACTCGATAAAGGGTTCTCTTTAAACAGCAGTTAAAAATTTTGTTAAAGAAGGAAAAAAGAAGAATCTGTGAGGAACTCATTTTTTTTAATTCCAAAAGATCCTGTCATTTTACTTTCTCCAAGGCATGCTTGTCTGAGGGTCTTTTTTATGCAATGGTGTTTAAAAATGAAATGCACCCTCCACATTAATCGTGAAAGCCTGCCATCACATATTTTTAATAGAATACAAATTAAGGAACTGCAATCCCCAGAAAAAAGAAATTGGTTAAGAATTTCAAACTTCACAGCTTACAAAAAAAAGGAAGAACTTTATTAACCAAAAAGAAGTTGCCCTGAAAAATATGACACAACTGAAAGAACTTTTAAATAATCATATAAGAAGTTCATTGAACTTCTACTTAACTCTTTAGACCCTGAGTTATTTCCACCACAGTTTTTTTCTACGGTCACCTAAATGTGGCGCACTATGTCTCTTTACAACCCCAAAAGCTTACCTCAAATTCTAAATGGCAGAAACAAAGGCTTAGTCATTACTTATAACCTTGGTTCGGGAATAGTTCCGAAAAACAAGCAAAAACTAGCACTAAATGAAACGAAACTGTCACTGGTGTCCGGGAGCGCCCGATGGGGAACAGGGTTATCATTAAAGAGTTAAAAATCACCATCAACCACAATAGTACACCTAACCACAATGACGTACCTTCTTAGATCTTCTGTCTTCACGGCATCATAGCATATAGGACACCTCCTGTAGTCTTTATCCCCAAGCGCCAGATAGCGTATCATGCAAGCTAGGCAGTAAATATGTCCACACTTGGTTATTTGTCCTGAAAGAAACATTTAACTGATGGCATTTTATCTTCAATTGCTATAATTAAGTTAGATCCTACACTCCGAAATATGGACCACAATTTTTCCTTTTCAATGACTCAATGCCCTTTTCTTTCCAATTTCTCACACTTATTCAAAATATTTTCACCTATAGATCATTGACATTTTTTTCCTTTTCAGGGGTTTTTAGTTCAAAAGGAGCATGCACAATTTAACAAAGTAACATCTCTAACATTGAACTTGCAAGAAGAAAGCCCAAACGTCGCACCACTCATGCCACTTTGGCTTCATCTGTTCAAGCACAAAATAAGTATTTGCCAGGCGCAGAACTGCTTCAAACCAAAAGAAGGTGTACAAGGCACTCAGGGGCAATGTTCCCACAACTCACCTGCATACGGCACGCTCCTGCAGATGGGACAAAGAACAGACTCGGTGGAGAACACGCGCACCAGCTCCACCAGATCCCACTTCACCAGGGCATCCGGGTCAACGGCTTGCTGGGAGTACTCTCCATTATCCTGCACTACAAACTGGCAGCTGAAATGACAAAATGCAATGTTTACGCGACATATTTGGCGCAATCAGTGTCATTAGTCTGAAATTGCAAAAACCTAGTTACGCAGGTGCAGTCCCCATAAAGCGCACTGAATAATCATCAACATCGGCATTTCTATGTGATGACTGGCAAACAATTTGAAGAGAATACACAGGGGCATAACCAATAAACTATAAGAAAAAAAAAAAGATATTTGTCAATATTTTGCAACCTTAAAATTACAAAATTCTCTCCAACATTTCTGATCGCTTTTGAGTTATTAAGACTCAGAAACCAAAATGTTCTGTCTGTTCTATCAAAATGGTTAGACTATTCCAAGATGTTATCAAGATATTCTTCGAGTTGCATTTGAAAAAGTTTGGCATGAGGGGCAACTGAAAATTCGTTTATGTCAAATCTCAAAACTTGGCACAGAGCAGATAGAACTTTGTAATTCTGGGGTAGCGATTTGTTAGTATTTCTCATTATTTCTTCCAAGTTTTTTACTCAACAAAAAGTCACACATTTATGATTCCTATATATTCAGCTTTTGCAACACAATTAACTTCTATTTGATGCATGTTATGACTACATTCTTCTACATCCTAAGCAGTGCACATCCCTATATTGACAGATAACAATTTCAAAGATAAATAAAATTTAAAAAATACTCGAAAACGTATTTTAAAAATCTTGTATTCAAAGAGTTAATAAAGATGTCTTAGTGATACAAACTCGCAAATATTCAAACAAGAAAAATTTGTGGCTTTTTAAATAAAACAGGGTTGTCAAGAGTCCAAAGATTTTAAACTATACTAACCTTGCTTGTAGGAATTGTTCCTTGTTGTAGCGCACCGTCTTTCTCTGTCTGCCATGACCACCACCACCCCGATACCCAGACCATCGGCCGGCAGAACGACTTCCTTCATCATGGGAGCCATAGTGAAACCTCAACAGGTTGTTGGCATTTCCCTTGCGGGAACTTGTGCTGTATACCTCTGGGGCATCATCAACCTCTGCTACCTGTTCATAAGAATCAAGCTCGCTTTCATTTATGCAGAGAGGCAATTGATTGTCTTTGATTATTTTAAATAAATCATTGCTTGTGTTGCACTTTTTCAGTTTCAAATCTTTAATCACACTCCAACTGTTACATTTAACAAGGGCCAAAAAAGTTCTTAAACGTTCAGTGAAATTACGAAAGTCGAAAAAAACAACACAGTGATCGCAAACTCGTGAAAATAAATAAGCAAAAAGAAAAGCTCATTTTCACATGAAAAATCATTTCGTGTTTAGGAGAAGGTAAGCCTAAAAAAACCCCAGCAGGACGGCAAAGAAGTTAGATATATTAGTAGAACCATTCTACCTTTTCAATGAATTCAAATCATAGTTACACCCATCTCATCCGCATCAACTGAACTGATAACACAAGGCAACAAAATAGAACAAAACGGAATTAATATTGACTTCAGGAGCAGGGCTGAGAATGGCATACACCACAAAAAAGGCTAAAAACTAGGGGGGTCTACCCAAACACTCTCACAAAGAAAATAAACCATTACTATACATTGAACCTACATCATTCTTGAGATGGATAAAAAAAATTATTCATAGCCATTGCTCCCTCCTCTGGGCTCCTGACTCTTTCTGCAGCCTTTCTACAGCTAAGTCACCACAGTTCTCCTCATAACTACCGGTACTCGACTGTCACAACTAAATGCAATTCTACCAGAAAGAATAAAAACAAAAAGTACTTGATTGAATGGTATCAGCCGACACACTGAAGCGCACGCACCTCGGTTTCGTCCAGCCAGCAGTTAAAACACTTCAAAAATTATTATTGTCTTATTCAATTCGATTTTTTATTCTTACTACATTATAATACGAAACTCGGGGGGGAAAAAGGCGGAAGAGGCGTTCAGATGAGCCGACGGTGGTGTTGCAATGAGCGGAATTCCGCCTTCAGGCAGACAATTCTCAGCCAAGCGGAGAAGAAACGACCAGTGACTCAAAATAGATGCCCAATTTAGATTTTTTTAAAGTATATATAACTATAATATATTAATCGTAGACAAAATGTTTTATTCAATTGAAAAAGAATTAATTCATAAAGTAATTACATTGGCTTCGTTGTTGTTAACGTTTAGCCTGTTGCTTGTCATTCACCACCTCAGTTTTCAGAAGCATGTTAATTTTCTTGTACTCCAATCAAAAGTTCTTGTCTTCATTCCCAACTATAAACATTTTGGTATCGTAAAGTCTAAAACAAGAGTGTTTCTATACCATGATAAAAGGTCTTTATAACAAGTTGACCAAGTAGATTTGTGCAGACAAAAGTGAATGACTGACGTTCAATTGTATGTGCCTAACTGTAATAATTTTTTTAAAAGTTTAAGGTAAGCATAATAACTGAAAAACAACCGAGAATAGATTCAGGGGGGAAAATGGAGCAGACCAGAGCGGAGCACACACCAACTACCTGCTCAACGAGGGTGCCACACAACTGAAACAAACCTCTTCTCTTTGTCTATCGCCATAATAGCCTCTCTGTCGCGGCCTCTTGTCACCATTTCCTCGATTCCATCTCTGAGGAGGGGGTTTGACGGGCAATTGTGCAGGTTCCAAAGAGCGACCTCCAGGGCTGACATTGTCCTTCCATCTTCTTCTTCCATTGTTCTTGTTTGAGTAGTCTGTGAGAATGACAGAAAAAAGACATCTTCAAACAAGCAGTGAGTAGAACCTGAAGGTAAGGATGAGAAAACTTGAGAGACAAAAAGGAAAGAACTTCTGTAATGTGCGACCACCCCAACAAACACAGTAAAGAAGAGGGACCTAGACCAACCTTACCCTGCTCCTACCCCAAACCCTATCCTCCTTTCTTTTTCATAGCAATCGCTCGTTACGGAATTCCTCCTAACAAACGGACAGAGATGGAAAAGAAAACAGTCTTCATCTATTGTGCCCAAAACATTTCGACTGGGCCATTGTTATAATATACTTTTAGGCAGAGCAAAAAAATTTGAGAGATGCAACAAGAACTTGAAAATGTCCCACTGCCACAATACCATGACTTAATATACTAGAAGAAACAATGTCCAACATTTAGGTTTACTGATCACTCACGAGGAGTTCGCAGTAGGCCTAGTCCCCTTCTTGTCAATAAAAAAAGGCCGGCTATATTTCTCTGAACGGTTTCCGTTCTCGAGATTTGTAGATAATAAGCGAATGGAGTGGCCTGTGTGTGTGTGAAAGTGAGTGTGTGCATGTGTGTGTGCAAGGTGTGAACGAAGGGATTTTTTTTTTTACATGAAGGATTTTAGTTTATGCTGGGTGACTAAATGCAAAATAGGTTTCTGCCAAGGTCGAGCAATCTTGCTTTCTCGCAGTACCTTTTGAGGGTATTTTTAAATGAAGTGTAGTCCGGGAACGTTGCCCCAACCACAACTGAAGTATCTGAATATTCAGACATTTGAAAATCTCTAGATTCTAGCTCTAGAAATTGAATTCAATGCAAAAAATGCTTCTTCCCAGTCCGATGGCAGAATGAAAGGGCGACGCCTAAATCTTGCAAATAACCAAAAAAATCTCAGAGATCGGATACCGTTCGGAAAAATAGAGTTCAATTTTATTTTCCCGAACATTGCGAGAAATAGTCACTGCCATAAAAGAAAAACAGGCCTGGATGACAGCACTGTTGCCGTTGCTGCTTCACTATTCAGAAGTAGCTGGGAAAGCACACTTCAATACACATACTACTACGACTAGAATCTAGAAATAAAGCCTCCCAAGAAAGAATGGACACACATACCAGAACCCAAACTTCTTAATCTAACTGCAGTGCTGTTGGGTGGCATGTCATCGCTGCTGAAGTTCTCCACAATATTAGACCAACCTAACTGGAAAAATTAGGGGCGACCACTAGAGCCTACTTGACTTATGCCAATTGTCACTTTTGTTTGAAAGGCCACACTTCAAAAAAAGCATCACAAACAGTAAAGTAGTGGCACTATCACTAGATCTAGATCTAGAAAACAAGCAGAAAACGAAAACAAGCAGAGAAAAGAAACATGAGGCTTGAATTTCATAAATGCCATGCAATAGGACCACACTTGCCTTGCAAAAGCAAGCTTACTTTAAATAGTAAAGAATCATACAAGTATTTTTAGCACACCCTTGACCTGAAAATGTTCCACATCCAGGGCACAAGAAGAGTCACCTGTCAGCAGTGACAACCCAAGTGACAGACAATCTAAACAATTCATAAAATGATTTTAAAAAATCACACAGAGTAGGCCTAAAGCCAGTGAAATAAGTGGAAGCAGAGTCAAATGCTTTTCACCAATATTAACATTGGCAACACTAAAAGAAGTTGACCAGGACCAGAGCAGACAAAGCCGAGGGAAAAGAATAGCAGGGCACACGTTGTTGAAACAGTGATCCCATCGTAGCTTAGAAAGAAACAACTTACCAGATTTTCTTTCAGGGGTAGCGCTAGTCTTAGACTGCACAGGTAACGGACGAGTAGGAGTTTTTTTCTCCATCGTATAACTGCTTTCCTCTAGCATTAACGTTAGCTGCAAAATAAAGTTCTAGGCCCAGGACCAAGCCAGTCTGCAAAGCAGAGTTGGTGTTTCCAAGACGTTGAGACATCATTTTCAAATCGCCATATTGACCACTAACAAAAAAAATAAAGATAATTCTACACAGAATATTCAATTAAATTTTTGCAAATTAAGAAGAAAACGTTAAAATGACAGTAGGGTACTTTTGTACCCCTGTGCGCTCGTCAGAACGCGGGAGCCCTTTTCACTCAGTGCGATCGCTGATCGCCGTTCAGCAAGATGGCGTAAAGAAGTTGACCAGGCCCCGGATGCCGGATGCGCGAAGTGCAGCACGAAAACAATATGCCAGGTAATCCTAGAATGTCGAATTTTTCTCGGTATTCTTATCAAACTTTTGAATGAGAACACCATTAGGCCTACCTTCGATGAAGGAAGAAGTTTGGAAGCTCTAATAATCTTAATTTATATTAATTTCTAATTTCTAGCCTGTTAGAAAAGAGACACTTTGAGAAAAGGCTTCGAAAAAAAAATAGGCTAAACATGTTGCCAAAGCACCGCCTTTGCCAACCAAACATGGCATAATCTAATAATGCCAGTTTGGTTTCAAATGTTTACTGTCGTCCTAGGCCTAGCCTACTCACACACGACTTACTTACAAGTACAAGACTCGACTCACTAGATTCTATCATTGCACGCTTTTCTCACTAACACACGTTTGTTGTTGTTGTTATTGTGTTTTTTTGTGGGGGGTAAAGGTCATATGAGCGCACGGGACATTTTCAGTTGAAAGAGGCTAGTCGTACTTAATGACGCAGTCTAGCCTAAAGAATGACTCATCACTTGTCGGATAACATCAATGAACTTTTAATGATTCAACGGGGTTACAAGTGATGACGACATCAACTGAAATG